GTTGGTGGTTGTGGTGGTGGCGATAGTTGTGGAGGGAGTGAATGTGGTGGTGTAAGTGGTGGAGTTGGATGTGGAAGTGGAGGTAGTGTTATTTTTTAAAATGAATGATGGTATTTTGGGAATTAAAAAAATTCATTAAAGGTTCATCTCTGCTTTTTTTGAAAGCAGCTTTGAAAAGCAACCCATAACCTGCTTTTAAAAGCTGCTGTCAAAAGGCCATTGCTTTTAAAATAATCGAGATATTTTATTTTTATCAAACACCTAAAACTGCTTAACTTTAAAGTGAAGCAGGTTTTTGGCGAAAAAAAGCAATCCCAAACGGGGCCGCAGTCTTTGCATTGTCAATTTTGCTGGTACCCAAAATAAACATAATAGTCAGTCAAACGCGGTAAACAACTTTCATAATAAACAAATCAAAATTAACATCAAATTACATCCCTAATTTCAGCTTAGCATACCGATCTAACGGCCAGAGACCATCAAGTCAAAAAAACAACGGCTGTTATTTGTTTCTGAAGGCCCACCGTCGGATTGAACTGGGGTTGTTCAAGGCTGGTTGGCCCATTGTACTGTTTAGGAATCTAATCTAACTGTCCCAGAAATATCTGACTGCTGCCCGTAGTCAGTCTCAGTGACTGCCCGAACAGTGACTCGGTCAGCTCCCACTCTCGCCTTGGGGCAGCTCCAAACTTCAATGGTCTCTCTTTCTCTCTCTCTAGACTTGGAAATACATAAATGTAAACCTTTTTATTCGGAGAGCGATGGAAGCCACCACCTTCTGCCTTCTGCTGAAGGTGGCTCAACATAGAGGTGAATGAAGGGCGTCCATTGACTCATTAATTGGGTCACAGAGAGATAAACAGAGAGAGAAACAAAGAGAGAGAGAGAGAGGGAGAGATGGGTCAGGGGCTGAGTTGCAGACAGAGTGATGAACATGGGCTCTTCCGTGCCGTGCAGTTTGGGGAATTGGACACTGTGGAAGCTTTGCTAGAGAGAGAACCAGCTCTCTTGCGCCACTCGACTGTCTATGACCGCCACTCTGCTCTTCATATTGCTGCTGCGAATGGCCAGATCGAGGTGGGTTCTTTTGTTTCATTGGAATTTCATTGATTGTTTCAAGTTTTTTTTTTTTTGGATTTGGGGCAAATGGGTTTTTGTTTCTTGGAGGGAATTCAGTTTTTTGTTTTGTGGAATCTTTTTGTTGTTTTTGAATGTTGGATTTTTGATGATTTTTTTTCTTTTGTGGGTCTGATTGGCAGATTCTTTCTATGCTCTTAGAACGATCTGTAAATCCAGATGCGTTGAATCGTCACAAGCAGGTAAATTTAATTACTTTTTGGCTATGAATGTGTAAGTTTATTGATTGGGAAATGTTTGATCTTTGGTGTTCTGTTTTTGCTTCTTCTAATTGTCTTCTTGTCTTGTTGATTGGAAATGGTTCAGACTCCACTTATGTTGGCTGCAATGCATGGCAAGATCTCGTGCGTAGAAAAGCTTCTTGAAGCCGGAGCAAATGTATGTTAATATCCCAACTTTTTGTTTGTTTTAGATTTGCAAATTTTCTTTTCCAAATATGAACTATGAAATTAATGTCGGTTATTTTGTCAGGTCTTAATGTTTGATTCCCTTCATGGACGAACCTGCTTGCATTATGCTGCTTACTATGGTCATTCTGATTGCCTTCAAGCTATTATTTCTTCTGCTCATTCAAGTCCTGTTGCTGTTTCTTGGTTGGTCTCCTTTTTACTCTACCGAGTGATTTCGTCTTCTCTTTGATTGATGGGGCTAAATACTTATTGATAACATGATATATTGGACTGAATATCAGGGGATTTTCACGATTTGTGAATATTAGAGATGGCCGGGGAGCAACACCATTGCATTTGGCAGCCCGTCGAAGTAGGCCTGAATGTGTACATATTCTGTTAGACAACGGAGCTCTTGTTTGTGCTGCAACTGGTGGATATTGGTATGAATTCTACTAAATTTCTTAATCCTGATTCATCTACGGCGTTGATTTCGTTCTGTAGATTGATAAATTTTTGTTTACAGCTGTCCTGCGAGCACTCCACTTCATTTGGCTGCTAGAGGGGGATCTCTGGATTGCATACGTGCATTGTTGGCATGGGGTGCAGATCGTATTCAAAGAGATTCATCCGGGTATAATTTATTTTCCTTCTATGTTTGAGTATACTTTCGTTTCCTTCTATATTTGATAACCAAATTTTATAACATACACGGATCCCTTTTGTGTAAGCTATGTTTATATCATCTCACGTAATAATCATTTTGTTTCACATATCCAAATATCATCCATTGTCTTAACACTTATGCAACAAATTCTTATTATGCATGTTTTGAAATTTTTTGATGATGCCAGTAGAACTCCACTTGAGCTTATTATATGATATATGCTTGTGTATATGCAGGAGAATACCATATATAGTTGCTTTGAAACACAAACATGGAGCTTGTGCAGCAATGCTAAATCCTTCATCAGCTGAGCCTCTTGTGTGGCCAGCACCTCTGAAGTTTATTAGTGAGCTTAATCAGGAGGCAAAAGCTCTGCTAGAACAGGCCTTAATGGAGGCAAACAGGGAGAGGGAGAAGAACATCTTGAAAGGAACTGCTTATTCTCTTCCATCTCCATCACATTCTGATGTTGGGACGGATGACAATCTGTCTGTGGTAATTTCCTACCCTCCTCTTTCTTCATATTTAAGTTAGATGTATATCCTATTATATAAAGTGGGAGCTTATAATGGGTTTCACCCACTTTCACCCATCCAGGTGTCTATAATTTACTGAACTTTCTCAATACTACTCTATTATAAAAAGAATTTGATTTGCATCTACCGACCCAGTGTAGTATTTTATTTTCCTACTTGTCTAAGACAATACAAAATAATCAGTCATTTATATCTACTCAAAAGTTGGTGTCCCGTCTCACAGAGTCATACATGTGTGGGGGCTAGTTTCTAATCATAATTGACATGATGCTGGATTCTCCTTTTAATGTTTCCTAAAGAGGGAATCAATGAACTTGGTTGAATAGTTCAGACAGAAAATTTTAAAATGTTTTTTAATTACCTTGCTCTTTTTTTTTGGGCAGAAAAATCATCTTGCTCTCTAAATTTAAATTTTTTGTTTCTGATCCCCAGAATCCAAACTGGTTCAAACTCTTGAGCTTTATTTCCCATACCTGTGATTTGGACCATGAGTCTCAATAATAGTTCTCTGAATCCTAACTTTAGACACTGTACTATTTTGTCTTTGCTTGGTATGCTTTCCTTGGCTCCGGTCCCCAAGTAAAGGCATTAGATTTTGATGTGGCTGCATAATTGCATCTTTACTAGTGTAGGCTGTGCCTCAGTCAATTTTTCTTAACGTTTTAGAATTGAGCAGGTCAGAAGGAGACATGTTTTCAGCAGTCATGTGAACTGTATACTCATATTTATCCTATTGTTTAATGCATGGGACCAAAGTATTCATTGGGACATTGTTTTATTGCAGGAAAGCGATTTAGATCTATGCTGCATATGCTTTGAGCAGGTGTGTACAATTGAAGTCCAGAATTGTGGCCACCAAATGTGTGCACAATGCACTTTAGCCCTCTGCTGCCATAACAAGCCTAACCCAACAACATTATGTGTAACACCACCAGTTTGCCCGTTCTGTCGAAGCACCATTGCCCGTCTGGTAGTTGCAGAGATTAAAACTTATGATGATGCTGATCATGACACCGGAGATAACAATTCCTCCAAGCTAAGAAAGGCAAGGAGGTCCCGAAACTTCAGTGAGGGCAGCAGCAGTTTCAAGGGGTTATCGGCATTGGGTTCTTTTGGAAAGATGGGTGTCCGTGGCTCAGGAAGGATTCTTGCTGAGAATGAATGGGTTGACAAGCCTTGATGCTTGGAGGCATTTGGCAACCAGAAAAAGAATCTATGTGTGATTTGAGGATTTTCTTTCATGTAAGTGAAAGAGAGAAAAATCCAAGAGGCTGCTGTTGGTGGTTGACACATGTATGTACAGATAAAAATCCATGTGGTATGTAGTTTTGGGAAATAAGCAAAGAAGTGAGTTGCAGGCATTGGTTGGGTTAGTTATGTTGGTCATGTTAAATTTGAGATTCAAGGATCTTATTAGTTGGTGATTTGAGAGTCTGTTAGATGTCTGAATTGGGAAGGAAAAAGAAAAAAGACAAGACAAAAAAGAGGAAGAAATTTTTTTTTCTTGTTCAAAGGTAGAATTCAACATTCTTGAATGGCTGCTCTGCCTAGAAAGACAGTCACAAAAAGACCCTTGGAAGGAGTCAAGGAATATGTTGTGCTTTTGACCCTAATCAAAGCACTTCTCTTTCCTTGTGAGGAATGTAATATTAAATTTATTGTTTTTGTTGGAAATTTTAAATTATTTTTCTGTAGTTTGTGTATACAAATGGGATGATGTGATACAAAAATTACAAATAAATAATAAAAGTCCTTGGCAGATGGATTTCATGTGATTGTGTCCGTTTACTGGTCGTATGATTCCAAAATCAAATTATGAATGTGGACGGTCAGCTTGATCACCAACAAGGACAGTTGGGTGGGTCAACAGGGATACACTACCTGACAAGATGTCGACTCAAAAGAATACAAGTTAGGCCTGTGAGTCTGTGAAAAGCCAATAGATAAGCAAAGGCCCACTTAACTGTGTGGGGTTGGATAGCCCAGCCTTTTTCCTTTGATACAAATATTTTGGCCATAAACCAAGTACCAGATTGGTATGGCCCATATGGTTGGTTTTTTCTCCATTTGTCAGTTGCATGATGCTCACAAATTATGCATGTAAGGACGGTGTAAAGGTCTCTTCTCATCTGATGGAGACATTGCTATTGACTTGCTTTGCTTTAAGTGTTTTCCCCACTTATCCATGCGGGTCCCTTTTAGATTCCGAAACAAGTGAGTCTATCTTTAGGTATTTCTTCTTAGGAGTTTACGTGTACGTACAAGGATATGTCACATTTGAAGCAGCAATCCTCGGTTACATTGATGTAGAATGAATTGAGTATTACATTTGATTGAATTGTGGTTAAAGTAGGAGAAATTATTAGGGTTATCATATACGTCTTGGAAAAGTGAGTACGCCTTCCATGCTCTTATATTTTCGCACGTCTTCCATGCTTTTACACTTTCGCACTTCTGGTTGCGAAAGTGATATAAGGGTGCTTGAATAACACTTCCCTTAGAGTATCAAACATACCACATGAACATGTCTTTGTTTTTTAGGTAAACTAGAGAATGTTGAATCCACAAACGAGTAATTTTTTATTTACAAACTGTTATTAACACTCCAAAACGTTATCATGCACTTTTTATTTATTTATAATTTTACAAGAGAAGGGCATGATAACCTTTTTGAAGTGCCAATAATTTAGCTCCCTTTTTCAACCATATGATAATTTTGAGCCGATTTGCGCTAGCATAAAAGTATTGAAGATGCTCTCTACAAGTGTGGAAGGAGAGACCCTATTGGTGGTAAATTTGGGAAAGATTGAATAGTATACACAAAAAGTTTCTTGTTCCCCTAATCTATATAGTCAATAGGTAGGGTATGGTACCTAGGATACCAGCACAGTTTGGCCCCAGCAGGCGTGGATCCTTGTCACCATCCTTTTGGAACTTCAAATCATGAACGTTTGCGTCTTTATACTAACACACATATCATAGAAGGAGATTTATTAACCCAAATGCTAGCTACTGGTATGAAAATTTACTTAATGTGATACATTTTGCTTAAACTGCAATGGCTGCACTGGAATTGTCAATTGACCTCTTTATGTCTTCCAATAACATGAAATTCTGATTAAGACACCAAAAAAAAAAAAAAAAAAACAAAAAAAAAAAAAAAAAAAAAAAAAACACAGAGAGAAACATGAATATAAAAAAAAAAAACACAGAGAGAAACATGAATATATTCTTTGGTCACTGGGAGAGTTGCCCACCACACATACATGAAAACAGAACTGGTTTTCTCTGGTCAACATGGTCTGAACCAAGCCATGGACTAGATTGAGGAGGAGCAACTTGACCATCAACAAACAGTGAGTTGGGTTGTGTAGCAGGCTGATGATCAGCTAAAGCAACCTCATCATCTGGTCCATAAATTGGTGGGTTTTCTCTATAATTTTCATTGGCTGCTCTTCTCTCCACTGCAAGGAAGTGACCAAGAGATGGAGGATGGTTGTTTTTGTTCACATTCTCACCATCTGTACTGTCCCTGGAACATAAAGAGAAAAAACACAATCTGAACTTGGTGGTGTTGTTGCTCTTCCTGTCTTTACAGACCTGATCAGTTTTTCTTCCCCTCAATGATCTTCTTGATAGCTCTAGAATGTTATTGATTCCAATAAGGCTCCCAAGTGTAATGCTCCTGTCATGGAAAAAAGACCCTGTGGACTGCAACCCACCAAAGAAATTAACATGTAAACATATCAGCACACTCTCCTTCACCAATTTGTTCAAGAAATTAACACTAATTCTCAAGATTAAACTGACATCAAACACTTAGAATTGTTAAGTTTGCAGCTGAGCAGACCATTTGAATTTTTAGTATATAGTAAACAACTGTACATATGCACTATTTTATTTGAAAACACTACCATACAAATTGCAATAGTCTTGCCCACTATGTCATCAACAAGACCATTCATTCAGAGCCAATTCTGACTGATGCTAATGGTACTGTTCAGGGGTCAATTTTAACTTACAGTCCTTACTGAAAGTGTAGGAACAGCCTAAATTTCAAGTCATTAGGAGGGGTTACTATTACAACAAACAGACAAATTAAATGGCATTTTCAGTTCTATTTCAATTTCAAAATCAATTATCAATTCTTTTCTTTTTCAAAATCTGCCAAAAGAAATGATAAAAAAAAAACAGCTTTCATTCAAGCATATTTTGTCCATGAAGAAAACAAGCTGAAAGAAACAAAACAGAAGGTACTGCAAATAGTATATACCAATCATTTTCAGACCAAATATACATATAATATACAGATACACACAAACTAATGAATCCTATGCCCATATGTATGACCTGTTTCACTACAAAATCCCAAATGAACCATCAAAGACAAGACTAGTAGTATATATGAGAAAACTTATACCTTAAGTATCTGTAATTTATACTGACCTCTGTGTCTAGATCTGAAGAGGAATCTGTAGAGGAAGTTGGAGAACCAGTGAGTAAAGTGTTGAATGACACTGAACCGGAAAACTCATTGTTTTGAGCCAACCCAACTCTCACATGCATTGGCTGCAAACCCAGAGGCCAGCCTTCCTCCTACAATCATATCAGTCAGGAAAATCATCAATTATGCATAAGCCTCCAACAAAAAATGACAAAATCAACATGACTGAGCAATGTGATAAGAATAGACCCACAGAGCTAGAAACATTATAGCAAATAATAAACATATCCACCGGCCATAGAAATTTAGCAAGAAAAACAAATGAATCAGAGCTAGTGTTGAACCCAGAGGGGCAAAATCCAAGGAGAATGAGATAGAAGACAAAGCAGTACCTGTTGAGCCATGCTTGACAGGGGCCAAAAGCACTGGTGCTGCTCCTGTGACTGATTTGGCTTTGGTGAAGTTCAATGAGGTCACCTTAGGTAAATGAAACTGTCATTTCCTTAATTGGCATTGTAGATAAGCACAAAGGACTTGCAGTGACTCAGAGATGACTGAGGTGAAAGTAATTGGGTAACTCTATATAGAGGTCATCTCTATGCACAGGAGATTAAGAACATCACCTGTACATTAGAAGGAGAGAGAGAGAGAGTAATAGCAAGGAGGAGATCCAAAGTAAGAGAGGTAATCATTTGTTAGCACTGTTTCTCTGCTTTTCTTGGGTTTTGTTGAGTGTTGACTAGAAAGAGAAAACAGAATCATTTTGTACTAAGAAAATGAAAATCAAGACTAAACAAAAGCATAAATCCAAGAAAGGTTCAGAAGCTGCTCTATAACATGATATTAGTATACAATAAACGGTTACATTTTCCCTCTCTGTATTGCTACTGGAATACGGAAAATACTTGACTCCTTATATGTAAGGAGTCATTTCGCTTTACAAATGAACTACAATTTGACTAGTGTGCACATTTTCTTTTAAAATTTGGTTGTATTTTTAATCAATTGTTTATGTATACCTTCATAGTTGCCAAGGAGTAGGAATGAAACCCTACATGTAAGGAGTGAAACTGTGTTCTTATAACAAAAGAACATTAACAAACTCTTTATTGCAGTGTTCTTCATTAATTCGGCCTCTCACGAAGCCCCATAAATTCTTTGTTATCCAATTATTAATACATAAATTCAAATTTGAAATAGAGAGCGTTATGCTAAGTACATGTGTTATCATTCATGTAATTGTAGACTTACAATAACGTTAATACATGCAAGGGGTTTATAATTCAAGTGGTTAAGAGCATTTACTTATGCATGTGAGGTCTTAGGTTTGATTCCGTCTTCCCCAATATCACTTGTATTAAAGAAATAATGATAATGTCGCCAATACGTGACGTTATGTTATCTTCAAATATAATAAATTCTGATGATTAAAAATGGTTTGAAAAAAATAAAATCGTTTGTATCGCATTGACTGCATTATTAATTGTATTATTTGCATCTTTAAAAGATTATGTGAGACATATGGTTTATAATTTAATCGTTAAATATACTGACATATGCTTATTCAAGATTGTAGAGATCAATTGGTGCATATTAATTTGTAAAAAGAGAGACTTTTATTTTGCTGGATCAACGGTCACACACTGCCATTGAGTGTTTCTTTTCTTTTGGCCCACAAGCCCCTTTTGTGGTGGGGCCAAGCCCAAACTTTTACTAACTGGGCCCAGGCAATATGACCGGTTGCTTTTTCCATATCTCCTCCTTTTGTGGCGGTAAAAACGTTCACCACGTGTTAGTATTCTATTCCATGATCCAGCTGTTCACAGCAAGAGCATTTATCAACCTCTAACATCAATTATATCAAATGTTTTTGAAATGGAGCTCGATTTGCATTTTGGTCTTTAAATTTTGCGCACAAATAATAACGATCTTTGAAGGTAAGCTGTGCTTTTGGAGGAAAACTATAGTTATACCGATGAAGGAATAAAAGAGACCAACGTTGACTGTTTTACCCCTCAAATAGATGCTCAAATCGACGCAAATGACGAAAAATGACTAAAATGCCACTCATAATAGAGTTTAAGGACTACATAATTGATTTCATTGACTAAAATGCAAATCAGAATATAGTTTACAGATTGAACCCCTCACTTAACCACCTCAACCACCCACATCCCTTAATTGTAGCATCTTCTCATCGGAAGGACCCATAATCGCAAATCGCTCCAGAATTTTCCTGTAAAGTATGATTGACGAGACAGGGCTTTGTTGACCAAAAATAAAAAGACGAGACAGGGCTTTTAGAAAGAGCAGGTGCATGCCATGCCTGCTTTGACCCTTAAAACCCCAAACCAGAGATCTTATTCAACCGAAGCCCAGTTTATTTGGGTTGTTTTTGTATGACAAGTTGCTTCCTTGTGGCTGCAGAAGTTTAGCCATTTAACGACAACTAGTCTGGGCTTACTTGAAAACTTTTGACACTTGTTTTTGAAGTTGGATGGTGGATCTTCAGCTGTATTTGGGACACCTAAAACCAAGAGCACATTTCAAGAAAAATGCTCTTATCTTCTGGATATTAGACTAAATAGTTTCACCACAACGAGAAATTTTTCAGTGTGACGGTCATATTACCATTCTCCATGAACTTCAAAATTATTTTCTTTATTCATAAAATATGCACCTAACTACAATTAAATTGAGACTTATTTATATCGAACATCTTTTAGTGCCTGTTTGATATTGTTTATTTTGAGTTATAATCACTCTTTTTCACAATTTTGGATATCCATCTCATTTGACCTGTTACTTATTTACTATCATGGCATTCCGTTTCTAATGTTGGAAAATGAGTATAGTCACATATAGGCTTGAAGAGATCATAGCCTCCCCGAAGGCCAAGTGTATCATGAAAACACCCAAAACAAACACAGCCTAGCTCCGTCTTGTACGAAAAAGTATGCTCTAACTCAAAGGGCATTTGATAGAATGGAAAAGGGGCAGAACCTAAGCTCAAATATTCTCATTGTAAGCAAATATAGAAATGAAAATATATAGATATGCAATATATTAATGTCTCAAAATACATGTTCGAAGCCTTCGCAAGATGCACGTTCGAATTGAAGTGATCAGATGTCTATGAGCATGCAAAACCACAAAATTGATAAAGCTCGAATTGACAATCTTGTCTTAATATTTTCTTTAAATTATTCCTTATTAAGTAATAACTTCTTTTCTTGTTCCTGTTTTGTTTTGGGTATAGGAGGGGTTCTTCAATCATTGTGTTACATCACTCACTGCAATTATAGACCACCTTATCTTAGCTAAGAAAAAAACTTGCATACATTGGATACTTACAAGTATCTACTTATCTATCTCATTACGTGATAAGTGACGTAAAAGAAAATGATAGAGAGCGACGAGATATGGAAACTTGCATACACTCGGATTATACCTACCGTTCTCTCCTTATCTCTCTCCTCACGTATTAAAGGTGATAGAGAAAGACGGGATGAATGCTAGTTAATTTCTCTTATCTCATTAGCTAGCTAGCAAAACCGCATTTATCACGTTTGTGGCTTTATATATTGCAAGAGGGCACTGCAAGTTACTGCAGTAAACCAGTCGGCCCATGACCATTCAATTTGACATGTAGCTAAGCTGAGGTAGTAGATGGATATGGCCGCCTTTTTGTACCTGCATGCAGCAACGGTACCACCAAATCCTAACATACTGAAATTCAGATACCTCTGTCTGTCAATTGGTTTGGCCCTATACAGGAAGACACAAAGTAATATTTTTTTGATGTGTGTGTGTGTGAATATATATGAGTTACTTACATACAAGGAAAGTTCCCATATGATTCCAACTCCCAAAAAAACAGATATAACATCCAAATTCCAATTATATACGTACTGAACTGACTTCCTTAACTCCATCAATACCTGCGCGAATTGATATTTTTCATATTTCAGGCATATTTCTTCTTAATTTCAATTTCAAAAAGAAAAAACAAAACACAGAGAGAGAGAGAGAGAGAGAGAGAGAGAGAGAGAGAGGTGTCAGTAGGGTACCTCTCTGCAGGAAGTCAGTACACATAAACATCAATATGTTTGCCACAATTTGGCTTTCGTTTTTTTCTTATTTTTTCAAGGCGGACGAACCCAAAAAACCAAAAAAAGAGCAAAAAATACTTCGGGCCAACATCTGACCTAATCTATCATTATCCAAAATATGAGCGAAATTAATAATTAAAATTACCTCTTATTAGAATTGTAAGTGTGAGAGTTTGGAATGATTATCTTAAAAAGCCAACACCGATAGACAAGCTTCATTATAATCATGGATGTAAAACATGTCCTTGAGTAGGTTGATCTTCCAAATCCACCAAGTGGACCGCATTGCTTCTTTGTGTTCTTTATGCAAACAGGAATTAATTAGACTAATCATTTTTCAATGCTTCTAACCAGACAAAATTTGGGAGAAAAGATCTCCAACCCATCTCTAGCTCAAATACGACAATTCGGTCCAATATGTAATTAAAGGTCAACTTGTTACAAATTGTGGATCAAACCCTTAACATATATAAATTAGTTCAACTAGTAGCAGAATTTCCATCCTTCAAGAAGAATCAAGGATTGAGTAGATCTCTCGAATTCATCAACAAGCGAGAGTTGGATTATTTTAGAGTTGGTTTCAAGTTTCAATAAACCTTCTACCTTGAACTTATATCTAAAATATTCCAAAACCAACAGAAAAAAGAAAAAAGAAAGTATATATGCATCAAACCAAAATTCCTCGTGGTCTATACATATATATTGAAATAATAAAAATTTGAAAACGCAAGCACACACAATACAAACAGAGCTTATCTTGCTACCTACCATTCAACCCATTATCCATTTGGGGTTTTGGGAGGGAAACGGAAGAATTAGTTAGATGGAATTGATAGTTGGAGAATGCATTCTGGTTGCATGCTGCAATAATTTATGGACATATTCAATTGGTTGTCAAGTAAAAGGCTGATGTACTTGTGGTGGGAGCTGCAAAAGAGACCCAACATTAAGAGAAGGTAGGGGCCAATCAAGGCCTCCTTGAGAGAGAGAGAGAGAGAGAGAGAGAGAGAGAGATCATATATGTAGTAGTAGAAGAACTAGCACTCCTTGATTATTATTGCTAGCTGTTATTTGATAATTTTCTGTCATGTCGTCTATGAAGGAATATACCACATGGGTTTGCTCACCTCTGGTAAAAACAATGCAGGCTAAGGATGTTTGCATCTTTTGGACAAGTCAATGCAGGCCACTCCATTTCCAAAAAAATTAAGAAAGTCAATGCCATCCAATCTCCATTATATAGAAACTACAGAGAGAGAGAGAGAGAGAGATCATCATCGTCATCATCATCATCATCAATTCCTTTCAGTTTTGTTAACAGTGCTTCCCTTCTGTAAAGACACATTATTTCACCTCCATTACAAAGTACTACAGTTATATAACACCTGGATTCAAAGTAAAAAACTTGGGGGCCTATATATTATTAATGGAATGGAACCCTATGCAAAATTCATCCTTGATAAATTACAGAAGTTACATAATCTGATTCAGATCTGGGCCAATTTCCCATTGTCCCAAAAACAGACACAAAAAAAAGGAAATTAATTAAGAAGATGA